CATCCCGAGAAAAACAAGCTTTAGGGTGCAACTCTTCTGCCTTTACCACAGTTCTGTGTGAAATACCTGTTTTAATCTTGGTATCCAATAGTTATTTGATATGTTCTAGCATCTACTACTTGGTGGGTCCTCCACATTAAAATAAAATTCAGTATTTCTTTATATGAAATATAATATGAAATATATATGGTGCCTGCAACACATACTTGAGACCCACAGAATATGTGAACAGGTAAGATTTGCCTTTCAACTATGTTTTGTGAAACTGTCAAAACATCTAACACATTACCATATTGCAGAATATTTACAGCAAAAATTGCAGAAGTAGGTTCTGGTACCAAACTGACACCACTAATTCCTGGAGGCCAGAGTCTGCATGCCTCTCACTGTTAGCTGTTAACTACATAAATCTGTAATGGGAAATTACTGTGAACATTGAAATGAATAAGTACATTACAGTCTCTATTTACTGGGAGTATGACAGCAACTAAGTTGAACTGACACTTCCTAGGTGATCCTGCCTTGGCAGGGTGGGCTAGATTAGATGATCTTCAGAGGTTCCTTCCAACCCTAGCAGTTCTGTAATTCTGTGATTCAAAATACTTGGGGTTTGTGCCATCTGAGACACACTTGTTACCTAGTTCTGTTGTTGTTAAATAAAAAAAAAAAGTGGTCTTATTTCAAAAGTGTAAGTGCAGTAATTTTTTTCTCAAAATCAACCATTCAACAGTCCAAAACAGCTATACAAGAACTGAAGCCATTCAGGTATGTTTGTAACAAGAAAACAAATTTATTGATTTTAAAAGACAAGACACAATTTTGTTTTGAAAAACACAAGAAAGCTAGCCTGAGTTCAAGTCTGAAATATTCAGAAAAATCCTACTGTCTTTAGTATGTTCCAGTCATTTTTTTATACAACACACTAAAAGTTAATATATATTTTTATAATTATAAAAGGTCCCCAGTTATTGTACAGTACACAATACAAATTGCCAACAAACTATTATTTAGCTCCTGCCAGTTTTGAGAGGACATTATATACTAAAAGATTTAGCATTTGTCACAAAAATCACATCAGGAAATACGTATTTACAAAATCAAATACATTATACAAAAAAAACCATCACGTTATTCTGTAAAGATGTCTTCTTTAAATAATTAAAAAGTATATTCAACTGTAGCCCAAAAACTGGAAAAGAACATTACATTATCTCACACATACAATCTACAAAAAGTTGCTTACCTCATTTACATAATATATTCAGTCAACTGGAAAATAAGAATTTGAATATGTCCTAGTGTTATGATGTTTCTGTGCTGTGGGACTGGATAATGTAATCTGCCACTTACTAAGTGAAATTTAAATGATGGCACTTAAAAAAAATACAGTATAAAATAAATGCAACAAGGGAAGTTTCCTAGAAGGTAAGAAAGCCCTGAGTGATGATAAAATTACTGATTGGTAGCTCTAGAATTAACCTAATTAAAGTTTACCACCTCAGGCACAATTTTCCAAGTTTTTGAAAGGCACTCGAAGTTTCTTTAACAGCCTCATTGGTTATTAACTGTAAATCCAAATTTTCAGTGGGTATGAGTGGAAATGGGCAACTTGCTTTGGTACAAAAGTGATATTTTCCCAACATATTTTAAGTTGCTTAACTGGGTTACTTTAAAATGGGTATTTAATGTTTAAATACAAGGCAGTCACTTTAATATTGTATGGAAGGAAACTTTACTTGGGGAACCCATTAAATATTCTTTGTGTAAAAAACTTTTGCTGGCATCAGTGAGTCAAAAAGAATTGAACTGAGTTCCTGTTAAAACCCAATCCATTCAAGGTTGCTCCTCTGAAGTCTAAATTCCTCCTAAAAAGACATTTATTATTTCAGAGTAAAATTAATCTAGAACTGAAAATTCCTGTAAGATGTTTGCACCATAACCAGAAAGTGCTTAAGAACATACAAAGAACATCTTCCTGAATTAGTGTTAAGTGAGGCTCATTTGATGCCCATAGGCTTTTTCTGGGCCTTGTTTTCTACAGTGAATTTCAGCCTTAATGAGCAATCTCCAAGAATAATTCTTACCAAATATTTAACTACTCAGGGCTTCCAATCCCAAAATTCAATTTGTTTTTTTCAACAGGAAAAGGAGAAAAAAATCAGAATAAAACAAGAGTTAAAATGATAGTTTTCAAACTAAGGCATATTTTACTCCAAACAAACACTAGGCAGTCACTTTGTAAGTGGCTTTTACTGTTTCTTAGTTAAACTGGTAAATTAAACTCAGGTCTACTGGCACATAAAATCACTAGCAGCAATGATCAAGGCATGCAAACTCAGAAGCATTTACAGTAAATTATGAATAAAAAAAGTTGTTAAATTAAAACCCTTTGAGTATTGCATTTATGTTAATTAATTATGCATTAATTTGCATTAACTGACTAAAAATGTTTACAACTTACTTGCACTATACTACTGACGTAATTCCCTTAAATAACTTTAAATGATACCCTTTTTCTTTGCCCTCAGCTAGACTTAAATAAGCTGCTTTAGTGTTTGCTGACTGATATTGCAAGGAACCAGTAGAAAATGTACTGTATTCTCACTTAGTAAGGTGGCATCAGTATCTCTAAGTTAAAAGAATCTTTACTTGCTGCTACACTTGTTCCCTTGTTCCTGTAAGCAGTAATTTGAAGAACAAAGGGGCTTTTAAAATTATTTGCTCGTGCAATTTCTAGTTGCTTTTAAAATTCAGACATTCAAGAAGGGCCATCCAAACTGTACCCTTGTATGTGAAATTTAATAAAATACCTTCATCTTCTAGCTAGTCATTATTGCAGTGACTGAGTTTTAAAAGGAATATTAACATAATTGTGCACTTTTTGTTCCTGTTTCTCACAAACACTGCCAAAAATTTCAATGCAAACACCTCAAATATTCTGCAAAATTTATTATTACTAAACCTTCTTTTAATCCTAAAGATTTCTCTTTTACAGTACTGGAGTATTCCAATACTAATCTATCTCAGGAAATTTTCAAAATAGCTGAATATATTTTCTGAACCTTTATCTTCTAAAGGAATCTTAAAGTAGACAACTTCCTATCTGTAGAATCATGTTTGATTTTCTTTGTATATATATATGCAGTTATGAAAACCAGGGAGCTGAAGTACTGTTCTATATTACACAGTACATATAAATGGCAATGAATATTTTGCCTACATCTACTGAGGCCCCTATTAATAAAAAACATCCCCATATTGTATGCAAGTATTTACTTTAGACATAAGTAAAAAAAGATTTACAACACTATAAGCTATTTCAAAGTATATGCTCAGTGAACTAGTTAAATTATCTAAAAATCTTTGTTCCCATCACGTTACTTACAATGCTCAAAGGGTTAATGCAAGGCATCATATCAAATTAATTTCCTAGTACTAGAACTAAGCACTGTGTGTTTATGCTTCTATTCCAGTTTTTATTGTCACTGTTAAATCACCAAACAAATTAGCAGAGATACTAGAATTCCATGTATCAATTTGCTTTAAACCGTATACAAAGAGCATGTCCTGTTAGTGTGACAAGGGCCCAATTTTCAGAAATTCATCTTGCTCTCTCAGATTTGTACTTTGAACTCTGAAATTGTTGTTGTATACTTATATTACTAATAAATCTGGGGTTTTTGACAGTACATTTATGGCTCTCAGTGGTTGCTTTTATTTTGTAAAAGCATTCTGAATTAAATTGGATTGCAGTACATCTCTAACATGGATTTTTTTCTAAACAGTGCAGATGTCAGTTGGTGAGAATGATAAAGATATCAGATCATTTCTCCTAGGGAAACCAAGATAAAACAAAAAATGTTTCAGATATTTAAAAATACCTTGCTTTAAATTAAATTTATATATAGACCTATGCATTCCTGAAAGACAGAACTTAATTTTCCTATTTTTTTGACTAAAGGCAGTAATGCCTTTAAAATCATCATTTTATAGGCAAATAATTTAACATCTATTTTCCAAATTTTTATGGAACTTTTAAAAAATGAAGGTGCTTTGAGCATACTACAGTACAAGCAAAAAAAAAAAAAAAAAAAAAAACCAAACCTGAAAAAAAATGTTTTAAAACTGATTTACCACAAGAAAGATGAAAATGTAACAAAACACTTTAACATATGTAAAACTTTTGAAAATTGGGCCCTGTGCTTTGAAAAGGTAGTTCAACAAGACCTCTTCCCCCACACTGTCACTGTGCTATTTTGTGCTAATGGGGGAAATGCCTCTAAAATAATTATTCTGGATTCCATTTCAAGATTAGATAAAACACATAAATCATGTCAACTCTCATAATGTCTACCCTGTGGACACACACTACACCTCTCCATAGCATTGACCAGAGACGTCAGAGCTGGTGTGGCAATGCAGCCGCACGCTACACATTACAGAATACACACTGAGGTATTCGCATCTCTCTACTTCAACAAGTACTAAAACCCAGCTATTAAAGAGCAAGGGTGTGCAAAATGTTTTATCTAAGCGTTTGATTGAAATTTCAGTAAGAACAAAACAAAAGACTCCCAAATCTGTAAGTTTACAACACAGTAAGATAGTTGCTCTAAAAAACCTTGGTAAAATCTTTAGAATTTAAGAGTAAGAATACAGACTCCAGTCAGTTTTCTGAACCTGTGAAAGTTCCAATTTGTTTTGATAATTCATTGTTTTTAGAAGCTATGAAATACAGTCCATTTTTTGTATTCAGATTTTTGTTCAGTTTTGTTTTTCACTTGATGACATTTAACAACTGAGCGGAGTGGAAAGCTAAACAATGAAAGATACTCAAATCCCACTATATTCAGCAATCTAGATTTACCTTTTACAATTGTACTCTTTTCTCAGCAACAACAAATTCAACATTGAACCAAGAAAGAATAAGAAAACACAAACAAACACAAAAATTAAAACAACTACTACAGTATTAAAAAAAGCTGAAAATGAAAAAAAAGTTGAATTATTTCACTTTATTTTACTTGTAAACATCTTATAATGCACAATGAAGGGGAGTAAATATTTATCACAGCTTAGTTTTAGCATTTTTGGTGAAGGGTACAGATGTGCTGATTTCTAAGGAAAAATCAGGACACACTGAGTGATATATGTGACAACAAAATCTAAAATGAGATTCAGTGCATTTATGAGTTTAGAAATAATGAATATAAATGTCACTTTTACTTTTTACTGAGGCAAAAGCCATCTACTGACCTTGGTAGGAATTAAGCCTACACAGAATGAGCTGGATGGGTTCACAATTCTGCAGAGGAATTAAATTTTTTTTTGTGCACCAGTAATGTTAGGACATTTAGTTTATGTGCAGCTGTATTTGGAGCATATGTAAACTCTAGCAACAAACTTGTTTGCTATAAATAAACTTCCATTTTACATGCTCTTCTCCCATTTGGTATATATGACTTTAAAGTCATTTCCAGACACACTAGATAAACCAGAATAAAAGAATCCTATTTTTTTTTACACAGTCTTTCCTATAAAGTTGATCTTTTTGTGTTCTCATTCACTTTTTGGATTTTTTTTCTTATTTAATTCTTCTACTTTAGTGTAGTAAATTCATGTGTCTGCATAATGAAATGTTTTTGAAGAAAAACTTGAGTTCTTTAATGTCAATTAATATGGTCTCTATAAACTGATATTATTTAACCATTAAAATGTAATATCTGGCTGATACACCACAAAATATAGAAATTGAAAACATGCACTGCATTATGTACCTGCTCATTTATTTCTTTTTAGTTTTTAAAATTAAAAGTAGGCAAGGGTTTAGAAAATATATAATCATGCTTGGGACTATGGTCAATCTATTTTGACATTTGAAGTTGGTATTAAAGCTAGTTTTGCTTTCCAAATTCCCAAGCAAATTTTATTTCTATTAAAGTGAAATCCAGCTAGAAACGAGAAAAAATAGGTCTATTGTCATTCTAAGAGGGATATTAAAATTATTTAATAATAAAAAAATCCTTTTATTCTTTTGAAGGCTGTGTAACCTGTCCTTACTTCTTAGGGAATTTGAAAATGACAGGCACACCTTGTTGAATTAATTTAAGAGTTAAGAATAACAGAAAGTACTAAGTCTTAGCTTCAGTTCTGTTTAAGGCACCATGTAATAGCCGAGGTACAATGATCCCTGATGTACATTCTTAAATGGCAATGGTCCATCTAGCCACCTATTCAAATTCTACACAATTGGGAATAGGTACAAGTGAGGTGTGCCAGTTACACTGCCTTGTCTAATTTTTGTAAAAATTTAAATCCACTTTAACAACAAGGAAATGTTTTTGAAAGGAAAATGATGCAGGTTGCTACATTCCTTGCATTCTATAAATCATCTTTTCTAAGAGCAGCAGATTGAACCACTAGTAGGAAAAGACCTGGAATAGAAGAAAGTCATCCAAATGGAATGTTTTCCTGTATGTCCAGTTCAGCATAAGTAGCACATACACATAAAATTAACAATAATCAAGTCACTTCTTTTTTAGCTTCAGTTTCTAACAACTACAGTGCCACTGAACAATCAAAAGCATCAGTTCAGTGGCCTCACATATAGAATCAGTAGTCTTCAAAACAGAGGAACTGGTATGCAAATAATATCTGAAACTGTTGATTTTAAATGAAGCTTGCATTGTTTACATCATGTTCAGATAATTAGGTACATTTATGTCATACAGATTACCACATTCTGATACAATTCTGTCTTTAAACAGCTTCTTCCTCACAGGAAGAAACGAGGAGATCTTCTCAACCCTCCAGCATTATTACAAAAAATCCCCCTGAATACTCACAATTTTATCAAAATAGTGTCTTCTCGTAGTACGATGAAAAGCACCTTTTATAACAAATTTGATACATCTGCTGTCAAATAAGTATGCCTCCAGTGTAAATCAAAGAAAACAGTTCTTTTGATATTTCACAGAAGTGCATCTAATTAAAAACCTATCTATATGAAATCAGCATAATAACTAATAATTAACATTAAAATATTTTTTAAATGATGAAAAAAAATTAAATTATTATAAGAGGACAAAACATTAACATTAAACTTTGCAAAAATCTTCCTTGCATTTGATACAAAGAAACCTCTTCATATTGAGTGGCCAAAGTAAAATGATTTAGTTTACAAAAATTTGTTTCTAAACAGACCTGGCAAAATACGTACACCCATTCCATTCAACAACTCCAACAAAATAATGATCAGAACAGTTATATTTGACAACAGTCAACTTTCAGACTTATTCTCTTTTTTTTTCTTTTTCATATTAAACCTAAACAGCTAATGCAATGGGGCATGTGTTGGAGGCCAGAGGAAGTTTCACATTAGACTGCAGTATATGTATTTCCAGTAGCACTGCATTGTCTGATAGTCTGAGTAGTTGCAACAATGTGCTCATTATGAATTGGGTTCAGGAGGTTCTGCTGTACTCCACTCTCAAGCACTGGCTGCATGCAGCCCACCTGGAATGCCTGGTTTAGCTCTGTTTTCTCCCTCTTAGCTTGTGGCTCTCCACTTTCTTCCAGCTCTTCATCTATTTCACTTTCAACTTCGCTGCCCTCATCTGCACAAACAAACCAGCATGTAACTACCACAAAGGAGAAGTTTCTAATACAAGGCTCTTTATTTTGTAAGTAATAGTTGAAATACAGGGGAGCAATCTGATAAAGCATAAACTGAAAATTAAAATTTTAATGGAAAAGAAGTCAACTGTTATCTCAAATAGATAAACAGATTCAGGTTTCATCACTTGAGCTACACACTTTTAATATGAAAAAAAAGCCTGGAATCTCAAAAGGTCTAACAAATAATGTTAACTTCATATTGGAAAATGTCTCATTTCCTAAACATGATGAACAAGAGTTGTTAGTTTTAGGTATAGATAGGGAAACTGAGGTGAGGAGAGTTGTGGTCACTTGACCCCAAATTTTGACAAACATTCTTATATTCACTAGTTGAGTTCTGAGGTCAAATCACCCCAAATCACTCAAGTAGTCAGTATAAGAATGCATGTGAAAATAGAGCAGGAAGAGAATTTAGGGAACTAATTTTTCCCTGACTACTTGCATACAATTCTGCTTCTTGACTTAGCAAAATATTCACTACAGTTAAATATCCATAAGCTTATTCTTGTCTTTCTTTCCACAGCTGTTACCCTCCTGCATCCTATTAGATATAACAAAATTTGCATAAAAATTTGAGTATTTCTTTGTGACAATAATAAACATCTTCAAAATATTCTTACTGTAAAACAAACCTACGATATTCCAGTCATTATTACATGTGGCACATTACAGACACAGCTATTGTATTATATCAATGTATCCATACAGCATATACATGCACTTTATAGGATGATACAGCTCTAAATTCTGTTTGACTTGTGTTTTTAAAACATAAGGATTTATTTTGCTCAGAGACGCATTAGCTCTGAACAGAATTATACCCTGGAGATACTGAAATGCTTACCTTTATCCATATTTCCAGGGGACACAGCATTTAAATCACCAAACTGCAAAATAAACAATTAAAAAATGGACACAGTCTTAAGCAAATGTGGACATAGAATATCTATGATGTAGGAAATCTGTGCTTCACTGGTTTGATGCATTCATTCAAATGCATGATCTTAGCTGCAGCCATAGCCATAGCAGAACAATTTCTCATTCCATTTCAGTCTTGTGCTTATTAAGACAATTATCACTAAGTAAACCCTCAAAAATTAGAATGGAGAAATACAACCTTTTTAAAGATTGCCTTCTCAGGGCCTTTGTTGTTTGAAGTGAGCTATTTCTATGTCTTATAAGGCCATAAATTATAGTGGATATTCATTCTGAACTGCCAATATTATAACAAAAAACTCTCTTTAAAATTTCCCAGGCACCATTTTAATTGTGCTTGAGCAAAATGAAATATGTCACAGTGTTGTTAATCTACCTGGAAGGCAGATGAAAGGCACTGCTGAGAAAGGGTTTATAACCTGTTAACTGATTTACATCAAAATCCAGAGCTTTTAAAAGAAGCTGCATGTGAGTTAGAAACCTTCTTCCCTTTCCTTCCTCCATTTCTCTTGTGTGAAATTTGGAAGAGTAAAATGCCACCAGTGGATATCAAATGAAAAGCACATTGTTTACATAGATACATTTCTAGCCATAAATGATGATACTAGTCTTTTCCAGAAGAATTTTGCCAACACCTGTGTCCAAGGTAGGACAGGAGAGGAAGGGAGAAGTATGAGAAGGCTTTTCTCAGCTGCAACCAGTTTATACTGTTTTACAGTGATTGTTGGACTTCCTCATTTTATTTCAGCCATTGAATACACAGAAACATAAGAAGACATTCATTTCATGTATTACTTCTATTCTGCCCCTCACCTCCGAAAATTTTGCAATACTTACTCCCTCATAGTATTTCCATATTCAGTCTCATAAACTTTTTAGAGGCCCTACGCTAAATTTATGTCTTTATCATGTAAAGTCTGCTGAGACAAGAAAAATGTAGTAACTGCATACTTGTGTAGTACTTTCTGCAAATATAAGACAAGAAATGTAAGAGCATCTATACTGATGGTGGGTCTTTCTACTAAGCAGAAAAATTATTTAATTTTTCTGAAACATGTCATGACACATGATATAAAATAATTTGACAAAGCAATCTGAGACACCTTCCAACTTCTCTTGAAAGTATATTACCTCTTTATAATATTTAATAAGCCTATCAATATATCTTGTGGGAAAAATGACAACTCAACTAGCAAAATTACCTGCAATTTATAGGTAACACAGAACATGATAGAGTGACTTGCAAGTGTAAAAATGTAACAAATCCTTCCTATTAATGATTTAACATATTTTCAAATATATCCATTTTCCAGCACCTTTGAAACATTATTATTTTGGGACAGTTCATGCTTTCCTTACTGTCTCACTCAAAATAAAAGGCCAGATGAACTACTGAAAAGAAGAGGGATAAGAGAAACTTTGCCTTGCAAATGCCATAGCTGAGTATTAAAAAATAGTTGTGCTTTGAGATCTAGATCTTCTTTAATAAGCCAATAGTCTTTGAAACAACTGTATGAAAATCCAATGTGTTGCAAACCTCTCTGTCTGCACTGGTATGTGGACAGGTCTGTATAAGCCAAAATTCTGCATGTAAACCAGCCTTCTTATGTCAAAGAGGGTATACATTTTGTGTGGGAATTATGTGTGCAAATGCATGTAAACAGATCCACAAAAGTAACATTTTCCTATTACTATGCCCTTTTTTATTTTCACATAAAATATTCAGATCTCAAAAAGTGGAAAATGGCTGCAGGTTGATCAACGTTTTTTAAACTACGCATATGAATCTGTGTGCAGATTCATAAAAGAGTAAGTTCATTTAGAAATAACTGATTTTAAGAATTCAACGTTATTTTAATACTCCTACAATGAACCAGTTAAACAAGTTTGAAACCACTGTAAATATTTGTAACTCAGTCTATTGTAATACTGCAGAACATCCGATCATTCTACATACATGCCTAAAAATGTGCAAAAACACTTTCTCCAATCATCACTAAATCTATCAATCTAGTCTCTTACATATTATCTTACCTCTCCCATAACTGCAATAGGTGTCTCTCCTGTTGCCTGAGCAACACGATGTTCTACTAAGTAAAACATGTATTCATCGTAAAGCAAGCGGATCAGATGAAAAGAGCCAAAGCTAGCAGCACTGCGCAAGGTTAAATCCCGAATCACCATTGAGCTATTTGAAAATAAAAAATATATATATGTTTATGTATTGTATGTCACAGCCATTTTAACATTTACCCATGTAGACAGACATTTCACCTCAAAATCAATATTCTCAAAAGTAACATTATTCTCAAATGTCTGATTTAATGGGATGACCAGGAAAGGGCAATCATTTGCTTCTCTCCTTTCTCAGAATGTACTGTTGAACACCACATAGGAAATAACCAGACTGGTTTGGTTTTGGTATTGACCTATGTATAACTACCACTAATTGAACAAGTGTAAAACTTAACTTGAAAGAAACTTTGTTGAAAACATAAACAACTAAAATGGCAAGAAAACGATTTGTTTTTAAAGAAACTGTTGCTTAAATAATGTCTGTTGTGTCAGTCTTTCTATGGCAATGCTTTTAATTGCCAGAATTTAAAAAGTTTTGAAACTTAAAATTAAAAAAATATAGACTTATTTTGTGTTCATATTATGTCTTCATATCTTCAGCAAGAAGTCGCTACAGTCAGGTTCAAAGAACAAGGTTTACTCTGATAACTGTTTCAATAAGCAGCTAACATGAAATGCTTGTTTTAATGTTCATTTCATATATTAAAAACAGCTTTTGCCTTTCTTATCTAATAAACATTGATGCCACAATGTTTTAGTAAGTAATACTAAAAACAGTGACTTAATAACTGCGTAGTTTTTTAACCAAAACAATTCATAGTATGTTTCTAACTCTGGACAAAATTACACCTGCATTCCTTTTCAGATGGCCTTTAAAATAATAAACTAGGGCCATTTAGGTCCCTGTTCATTTGCTGATAGCCCTGAGTTCAAGGTTAATAACAGAAGTCCTCTAAAAAAACCCCTATGTTTTTCATGATGTACCAAGCCACTGGTTGATATTAGATTTATCAACTTCATTACAATGCACAATTGAGCAATTAATAGAATAGTTAGAATGTTTTAAAATCTATTAAATGTTACCTGTAGAAAGACCATTTTAACAGAAATTGCCGTGCTGCTTTAGGAAAGCTGGGTCTTCCTTCATACGGTTTCAATGCTTGCATCATTACATTATCAAGCCAGGCAGCCCACTGCTCCAGAGTGCTCTGCTGTTGAAGAGTCATCTTGAAATCTGTTTCGAGTCTCTGAACCATGTTGTCATCACACTGGCACACCCAGGAAGCCTGCTCCTGTTATAGTACATGGCAGCTCTTGAATTGATAATACATAAGCCAAAGCACACAAGGTAATTGTATCTCAAAGGTTAAGCTGTTCAATGGATGAAAGAGACTGGACCCACTTACTAGACAGACTATGAAGTGTTTTTTATTTTACATCTATTGTAATTTTGTTGAAAGCAAATAGGTGGGAAAAGTATAGCATGAAAGATCAGACATCAAATAAAGAAATTAGAACAAACAATGTAAACAAAAAAGTTTCCTGTTTCCCACATTCATTTGTGAAAAAAGGCTTCCAATTTTGTAATTTTTCTGTTGAAATACTTATATCTTGTAATTTTTTTCTGGGATTTCAGGCAGGACAAGCAAGAAGAAGAGTCAAATGTAGGGGACTAAAGTAATAAAAAAAGTAGAGAGAAATCAAGTGCAACATTCCTTTTGTTCTGAAGAAGTTAAGTTTAAAGACAAATCCTGTTATATGGTCTTATAAAAGAAACTTTGTATGCAAACAAGGATTGTTTGCTGACTCTACACAGTAATAGATAACATATTGCTTAAAGACGACATAAGCTGCATACAAGTGGAGAAACACATTATGCAGCAATCAGCAATTTAGTCAGTGTTACCAAGTTTAAATAAAGTTAACTGTTAAATTCAGAAAATGAGAAAAAAATGACAGGTCACTAACTGCAAGCCATTTAGTCATCTTTAACTGCAAGCCATTTAGTCAACTTTAGTCATCATGAGCCAAGTTAATATCTCATTCACAGACTCTTTATCCATGTCAACATATTACTGTACTTAATATAATGTATCTTTGGTCAAGAACTCTTGACTAGATTTCTGTTAAGTGTGTTAACAAGTACATTAAAACACTGTTTTACAACTAAGAGAAACAGAGAACTACCAAGAATCCGAAACCTTTCACTTTGCTGGCCGAAAGGACAAAACTATTTTTCCTCAGACAAGCAAAAACATCTGGAAAAATTAAGCTTAGTAAAAACATGAATTTATACTCTATAGGTTTCAACCATACTAATCTAATCCATTATTCAGGAGATCTTGTAAATTTAGGCAGAAGCACGTAGAAAAAAAATACTAATGTATGGGGTTTTAATACTAATGTAAGGAGACAGTCTCTACTGAAAATGCTATGCATTTAATAACTTTAGAGACATTCAGAAGATACGCTACTGAGTTCTAATCCTAAAATATAATTTTTGCTATTAGTGAGACACGATTCATAGTATCCATTCTAAGAAGGTATTTGCTCTACATTTGCATAGAAGTTGGAAGAATATGTGCATTTCAAGAGAGCAAATTGAAACAAGTAATGGTTCTGAGCTCTGACTTTCCTAAAGTATAAGCTGTCACATTTGGACTGAGTCACAATGTATATGAATGAGCAAAATATTAGCACTTGTCTTTCTTGATCGAATGATGCCTGACAATAATGTTCAAAATCATAGAAGAAATCAAACTTAAAAAACCCCTGCTATTCAAAACTAAATTTTACCTGAACATTGGCAAAATCAACACGGTTGAGATCATTGAGCATTTGGTTGATTTGAGAAGTATTTTGAAGCACAGCACGAGCTGCTTGAGCCAGGTGATTAAGAGATGTGTATCTTCGCAGAGTCTGGGCAAAGGCACTTACAGCGGCAACCTATGAAGAAATTTATTATTAATTCTACAGATTGAGTCTTGACTTTCATTTTAATAGTGTATATTAATGGGTCCTCATATTTTAATTATACCATGTAGCAGATCAAATAATATTACTTCCTCTGCCATTACTTGATGCTTGATGCTAAACATGAAATTTAGCATTGATGTTAAAATGCTTCTCCTTTTAGGTGCTATTGCCTACTTGGTTTGCCACTGCAAGAATAGTTGTTTAAGTTTCATCTACCTTGGTTTGTATCATCCTCTGTGGAATATTGTTCATGGCATTTGAAAGCCAGCCTTCAAGGCTTTTTGCAAAATTGCGAATGGCTTGGGTCAAGGCACCTGCACATTGGAGAATAAAAACAGAATGAAAAGAAAGCAGTACACCCATCCTGAAATGCTTTGCATCCCCAGAGCTCTCTACCCAACTTTCAGGTCTGCTGCATTTATTTATTAGACAAATCTACTCTAGGTTCAAAATGCCTCACTGAGATAAAGTTTACACAATAATGTGTTAATAATATAATGCAATAATTCTTTTTACTTTTGGTTTAATAAATATTCTGACTTCTTCACCAGACAATCTTCCAAAGAAATTTGTGACTTAGCAGCATTGTTGGGGGCACTCCTATACAAGAACACCACCAATTGCAGCAGTTGTGGTGGAATTTTCCATCACAAATTTTCAGCTTTCCATTTTACCTAGACACCTCTTTCAAAAAAGCAAAAGTCTGGGGAAAAATCCACTTATAGGAATATTGCAGTTTCCTCAAATAAGTCCAAATTAATCTTAAACTATGTCATACTGTTGCTTAATTGAGTTTTAAAGAATAAATTCCATTCACATGCAGTCCTTAAGGATATCATCAATAAGCAAGATATAGGAATGTGTTTTACTGACAGAAAGTGAAATTATTCAAATGACTGTGAAATCTGTGTGCATTTTGTTTCTTTTCTATAGCATCCACAGAAATGCTGAATGGCTGACAGATTTAGAGAGATACTGAAGAAGCCCCTATAGCACTCTGCATTACTAAAACCAGAAATTTTAATTTTTCAAAAGAGGAGGACAGGAAGTATTGTCCCAAGGAAGAGTATCTGTAAAAAATAAAATCATATCTTCTGAGTGATAGAAACCCAGCTTTCCCATGCCTAAACCTTGCACATTGACAGAACAGCACTACACTCGAACTGTTGCAAAAAATAGGCAAAAAAAGAAAAAACTAAAGGTTTCTGAAGACTACTAGAGAATGAAAGCAACTACCAAAGTGAAGAGGAAAAAACCTAAGGAAGTAATATCTTTTTTTAATAATACCTTTTTAAAATAAAGCTTTCTACCAGAAATGTAAATTTACTAAAAGAGAAACTATATTTTTTGTGATATCTTTTTCACGTGTCTTTAAACTTGCAGTCAGAAGCAGTAAAATCTATATTGGTAATTCTTATAATTCACCACACCTTTGAATGCTTAGCTGATCACAATTTGATCTTACAAAATATCTGTGCTAGCTGAGCCCTCTTATAGTATCAGGTTTACATGTGAAGAACAAGCTTTTTTCTTCAACCCTGTCAATCCCGTAGTTCACTTGTGTTGCTTTGTAAATTATTTCTGTGCACTTACTAATTGACTATGTATTCATTCACATTTTCTTACCTACCAGACAAGATGGAGGTAATAATGTAAATACTATATGAATAGTACTTAGACATTTAAGAAAAACATTACCATTTTTTCACTTTGAGTGTTCTCATGACTCTTTTTTACCCAAGTGTATTTATATATATGTTAAAAAATTATTTGCATCACTGTAATGCTGATCTCCTTTAAAAATAAGTACGGAAAAGCAGCTCAGGCCTTAAGAAAGGCCTTTAACTAGAACAAATAAAAGGAATTCTAAGTTCTGAAGAAATAAAATAGCTAAAGTAGCTAATCAGGCATCAGTAATGTATAGAGCCATCATGAATTTCTAATGATCTTTGGAGATATATTAAATACAGAATTTTTCTCATATCCCTAAGTACACATGTAGCCATTACCAAAACCATAAGCACCTATATCCTTTAACTTGTAAGTTCATCTGAACCCTTTCAAAGAATCTTTGTATGATACGCCTGGTGCAAAGGGCCTAAACCATTAAGTGTTCCTAGTCACACACTAAAGGATGTGGCAATGGCAGTTACAGAAAGTTTGATTTGCATAAGCACCTAAAAAGCTTGACTTCTGAACCAAAACCCCCCTGACTTGTACAAAACTGAGCCTTACAGTCTTTCCAGTACTTCAATATTTTGTCTGTCTGGAATTGCATAATATGGCATGGAAATGTATTTTGCATAAATTCTCCACCTATCATGGAAATTAACTCACAATCAAATTTGTTTCAGTCCATTCTGCCATATGTGAAGATGCAAGATGTCCACTCTAAAACATAACAGGACACTAGATAATTATGTTCTTTATTCCTTACTCCAATTGACAGCATTTCACTTTCTTAGGAAATTGAATTTGCTGTTTTATACCCAGCAATTTTTCACTCATTCTGTGGGTGCGAAATATTTCAGCTGATAAATTTAATACAGAGGTTAAAAATAAAACAATTTTTTCCTCAACAGTCTTTTTTTTCTAGTCCAGTAATAGGTATCAACAACAGGACTTGTCTAAAAGAAAAAATACTAAAGATCTAAACAAAAAAGGGCTTTCTTCAAGCCCTTTTCAAATTAATATTTTTCCCTGTTTTGAGCAGCAGCTGCTGCTATCTTCCCATTTATTCAAAAAAAATCATAAACATGCCTTTAATGAAGCATTGATAGTCCCAGCACTTCTACAGAGTCCAAACTTTCCTACAAACTGCTATTTTCCCACAGAGAATGATTCACCCAGCTGCATTTTTGTTATATTCAACCTTAACCCATTATTTTAGTCTCTTGTAATGACTGGAAATTAATTCTAAGCTTTTATTCAAAAGTGGGAGTTTAAAAAATCGTAATATTTAACCATTTAACAGAGAAGAAGAAACTTGGATGGCCCTCCATTTAAAGGAAAGGTGCTAAAAAAAAGCCATTTAGTTAGCTGGTCCTAAAGGATAAAGTAAGATAATGTGTTAGCTGCCTTCTAAAGGTAGCTCAGTGAGCAGAAAAACACTGGACTGTTCACAAAAAGTCTCTTGAGATGAATTTGTCTTGGGATCAGATGAGGTGTTTGAATCCAACAGTTTGATGACCATCCCCAAAACAGGAATGTCAAACACAGTAGGTATCAATTATTCAAATATGACTGGTAATTCTAGAAAGAAAGAAATAGCATGAAAAGGACACGATGCATCTAGTTATTGATATTAATTGATTTTGCCCATTTTCTTGAAATCCTGTATTGGCAATGCCCAATGCATTTTACAAAGCAAAGCAAGAAGACAGCATGTTGTCATTTAAACATCTCTCTAGAGACTGCCAGGCTTTACAGGAAAAGCAACTGAAAAGGAGAGGATCAAGTTTAATGAAAAACTGCCTGCACCACCTTTTTATTCAGAAATTAACTTGCTTTTGCAAATAAGAGTTTTCATTCAACCTATTAAATGTAATAATTAAATTTGTGGGAGATTTTATTATTAACTAATTGTTGGTGATACACTATATTACAGTAAAATCTTACCTAATGGTATTGTCATTAGAGAAGTAAAACCTTAAATATAAACCAATGCAAAATAATTTACACAAGTAAAAGTTGTCAATAATTGCATGTATTTGCGAAAACATTTTTCCTTCATTCTGCTATATAGATGCACATATTATGCCAATTGCTACCAAGAACTTACTCGTTCCTTAAACAAAAGGTAAAATGTGCATTGTAAATGGCAAACCTTCGTATTTTATACATTTCCAGTTTCAATTTTTTTGGTATTGTACATAATTTGCTAAAGCTTGATTATATTCCACTGGCAAGCAAGAAGACAATAAAACTTTTTTGCAAGGTACTACCACCAAATATTCTTACTGAGCACTTATTACTGCTGGACTCACTATAACAGAGGAGGTGTCACCTGCAAAACTACTTACAGCCCTAATTAAAAAAAAAAATCAATCCAACTTTTTGAAGTAAATACTGTGGTTTTTTTTCATTGGAAGAAGATAATACATAGGAATTATGAGGGTTTTAGTGGGTTGCTAACATGATTTCAGTATAACATTTGGACAGTATATGTGACACAATAAATACTTCATGAAGTTCAACTTCACATAAATTTGTTTTCTACCAAAGATAGCCATAAAAATACATTGCTAGAGCAATGACAGATTCTAGTAAAATTAAATTTGAAAAGAAAGCTCTACTCCTGGTAATGGTGATATGACTGGACAATCACTCACTACTTCCTGCAGGATGTATGACAGAAAAATAGTAGATTAGAATAATAAATTGGAGTAGGAATTTTTCATAGCCTTAACAATTATTAGAATTGATTTCAGCAGTTAGGGATAAAGGACCACGTCTCCAAACATGGAATCAAAAAGACCACAGTTCTCTTCAGACTAATCCAAGAGTAATATGTGTCATAGGCATTTCCCAGCACAACTCCTTGCACAAGAAAAGTATGGATAAATTATACAGTATTTTGTATAACTTTTTGTATAACTTTCAGAATTTTTTTCTTAAGCTGTCCTATGAGGCACAAGTACACTTCCATCATATACATGCTTAAAGAAAAATCTTTACAAAATGTTTCAGATGTTGAACTTACTAGGAATAGGTCTAAGGACGTCAGGAATGAGAATCTCCACCAAAGCCTGGTACATCACATGGTCACAGTTACACATCCATTTCAGAATAGACTCATTCTTGCACAGAGTAATCAGCTTTGCTTTAGGAAGTCGACTTTCTATTTCGCTCAGATTGCTGGTGTTAAAAAAAATGTAGCAAATTAATACATGATAATGCATTTATGGCAACTAGGGGCATGGTTTAGCAGCTGACATGGCAGTACTAGGTTAACAGTTGAATTTGACTTTTCTGACCTAAAGTTTCTATGATTCCATGATTTACAGCAGGTAAAAACCTGGGTGTTAAAATCTACTTTTTTATACAGGTGTCACAGATATCTCAGTTGCACCCAATATAACTTATTTACACGTTGTCTCACATGGAAATGGATTTAAGAAACGTCTCCATAATTCTCCTAAAGCTCATAAATAGTGCAGACATATGAATGATGTTTCTGGCTTAGAAGTGGTGGATGGAATATTGGGAAGAGACAACTTCACTCTAGCTGTCCATGCAAAATGGACATGGATGACACAACTGTTTCAAGACTGACCTTTGGCATACACCCAGGCTATACAAAACTGCCAGACAACATAAATTTAATTTGGAAAATAATCATAGGAGAAAAAATTACTATGTTAAAACTAATATGATTTTTATAATTTCACATTTACACTATCATGAGACACATTAAACATAGAGAAACATTTACTGACCTTGGTTCATTAACAGGAGTGCCATCAGGTGGAGCAGAAGGAGAATAGCGCCAGAAAGTTTGCCACAATTTTTCTATCAGGCTGAATTGAAGATTAACAACCACATCCAGTATTGCCTGAAAAAATGAAAGATGAGATCATATTGTCTTTTATCCAGAATCCCTCCACTCCCAACTCCAACTAGATCTACAGCTCTTTTCCTTCATCACAAAGTGGAATCAAGGCAAACTGTATATTTCTCAAGTTAAATGGTACCTGTTTTATTATCTTTGATACCCATAAATTATCCAGCACTATAAACTGTTGTGCACAGAGACTTGCATAAGGCATGCATGGAAGCCGCTGGGAACTAGTATGGCCTATGTTTACTATGTAAACATATCAGAGTAGTTTAGGCACAGAAAATATTTACTGCTACTGCAAATAGAAAAGTAAACCTGACACGTTACTCCTTCTCATAATGCCTTCTAAGTTGGAAGCACCTTCAAAAATAATTTTAAAAGACATATTGTTATGTATCAAATGTGGTTTAAATGTCTTAATGTTTCTTTGATACAAGAAAAATGTTACTGCTTTTAAAAATAAAAGAAAATTATAATCTAACCTGATTTACACTTGCTGTTGACTAAACCAAATATCTCCATACACAATCTAAAGTCTAACATTCTGAATAATGTACATGTAATAACATTTTATTCTCAGTATTTATTACATATTACTCTTTCCCCTGTAAAGGGGATCATTCAGAAAACCCTTTTTGCTCTTGTTTTCGTTGAGATAAGTAAAATATTGTGGGGAAAGTCACATGCCACTATCATGGCTACAATATATTGGACACTATTCTCCTGTACTGGCCTTCAGTAAAAGTCATAAAATTTTGAAAATAAATGGTTTATAGGAAATACCTCACAGTGCTCTCGATAAAGACTCTGTAGTGATTTGATGTCCTCAAAGGTAGTACCATCTGGCAGAGAAGATATTTCAACTTCTCCAAACTCTGGCAGTACTCGAGATGCATCTGTTGTCATGACAACATAATGAAAGAAGTGCCAGTTACAGTATAGTTAAAAAAATATCTAAGGATTATACAAAGAAATAAATTCCAAAAGGTCATTATATTCAAAAGGCAAATGATTTAATACCTGTTGTATGCCAAAATACTAAATACATTAATAATTTTTAGTAAAAAATAAATACAAAATTATACTAGAATAGATTACAATGCTATCATGTATATAGTATACATATATGGAGAACCTAACATATGCTTTTTCAGACTATTACAAAGAAAATATGTAGAGTCAGTGCAGGAGAAACTAATCCTTCAATAATTTTTTTGTTGCTCAGCTGAAGAGCTTCCATGCAGCAAGGTGTGATGGGGCTTAATAAACTCAATATACATTTTTACTTGACATTTACTAGACTTTTAAGTAGAGCCAGTGTGTGCTTTTACTATTTGCCACAAATGTTTCTGGGAGACAAGATGGTAAGATAAAAATACTGGACTGAAAGATACCTGGAAAAGAAGATTCAAAACATTTTAATGCTACCCTTATGCTCCAAATGGTTTTAGTAATAGCAAAATCAAGCCAAAGGATTTGGTGGCTGAAAATCCTAACCAAATAAGCCTACACTAATAGTGCACTCTATCTACACAGCCAAGGATTATTTTTACATAAACAATTAACTAAATTAAGATTTGTTTCTGTGACTGGAATACATGCTTAACTGGTCAACAAATCCACAATTTGGATATTTTTAAACGTGACCTGAAAACCTGAGTTTTCAGTTGAAACTATTGGTCTTTTTCCACTCACAACACTAGAACACCCTTTCAAAACAGCCAGGAGTGGCTAACCTGCATAGTAGTGCAATGCCATCCCCCTATGCCAACTTTTATGAAATAAAATGCATTATAATGCACATGAAGGAAACAACTTTCATAGCAGGAATTTCAATATGCACATTTAATATAATTATGCAAAGCAACTTCATATTTATGTAATATGAAGTGTACCTCACACTGTTTTTCCTTATTTTCCTTTTATACTTACATTATGCATATTAAATATTACATAAAACTTAAATTACATAAAGTGTAATTTAAGTGCCTTTTGGTTCTGTTGAGAGTAAGGATTTTACAGAGGGCACGATAACTTCAGATGTAACTATTTTACTTGTCTGGCTTGATATTCACTGTGAAAACAAAGTTCATCTTACTTATTTATATAGCAGTATAAAGCCTGCTTTTGTACCTAGAAACTGTTGATGATGTTGACTTTGGGCAATTACAGTTTGTTCAACAGATGTGCCTGTCTGTTGACCACTTCCTGTGAAGCCATCTGCAACTCCATCCACTTTCTGCATAGGCTTATACCTGCAAAATATCAAGTACAAAATTATCCTTTCTGTTTACTTCTTCATAAATGGAACACTGAGTTTGATTTTTCCATCTCAAAATAAAATTTTCAGGAAAAGTGTCAAAAGCATTTGGAGATTCTTACTTACTTTGTAAAAAACAGAAGGAAAAACACACTAAGGGAAGCCAGAGTGTTAACAATGCATTACAGAATTCACAAAGGTGATATTCCAGCAGTACTCTCAATTTCTGCTAGAATTTAGCTTAGTAACGGCATATTGTAACACCAGCAAATTTATACCAAAAAAAATCAAATCCTTCCCTTTCCACACAGATTGACATAATTTTGTAAAACAAAGGTAATGTTTCATGACTTTTAAGAGGAAACAACAATACTGTCTCATGCTAATGAAGACTTCAAAGCAAGCACTTTTTGATACTGAAGTTATGCAAATCCAAAAGCTTCATGGTTCCCAAATTAAGAAAAGGAATGAAGAAAAATGAGGCATACATTCAGTCTACAGCTTTGCTGAAGAGAACTAGAAGTATTTATTCAACTAGATGTGTCTGAAAGAGATGGTAGAATTGGTATAACTACCTAGAAAAAAAGTATATTGACTGCAATTTACCACTAATTTAAAAGACAAAAGAACCACTAGAAATATTAATACATTGACAAAAGAGAAATATTCCCATAATCATGAAAATTACAATATTCAGTTTTTTAGTTCTCTCTTAATAAATCCTGCTAGAATTTTTCAATACATGTGGATAACAATGATAAGAACACATACTGTTATATATGAAACACTGAAGTTAAATACTAAGCCTTCTATAGCACAGTACTTTCCATGTAACAGCTACCTATTGTGTATAATGGTACCTTGCAGTTCCCACCCATCGTCAACACCATTACAGATTCTTGCCACAGAGCTTAGGATTGGTGTGAATTGAGCCTGAATTGGGTGCATGTTGGTGCAGGTACATGTGTGCAAGTGCAAAACATGGGGCACAGAAGTGTGCACTAACTGCACACAGTGCCATATGTGTGATTTTGTTGCTATATAATCAAGGAACATACTGACTTAAAGTTAAGAAAATGATGCCAAACATATTTAGGTGAGGGAAATAAGGGAACTATGTAAGACATACAGTGGTCTTAAATAAAATAATCAAGCAAATAATACAAAAAGAAATATCCAGTCCTAACAGTTATATAATGAAATTCCAAAATCACTTCTTCTTTGTGAATCACGAAGAAGACTAGAGACGTGACAATGTTTCGCTGACTGGCATCATTTTCCAGAAATAATTCTAGTTAGACCATATGTTTTGGTGCACATATGTAGTTCTGAATGCAAGTGAATGAAGTGTCTAAGTGAATGAGATTGAGTGGGTAAAATAAGCTTGCTGGGAGATTTTGTAAATATCTATCATCATTCCTTACTATATAATCCTGCCATGGTTTTTGTAATAAGCATTTTCTACATGATGTTATTATGAGACATCTCATGCTCCTGTATTATGCTCAGCAAAAGACAGTTAAGACCATATATCTTACCATGAGCTTCCATTTAGTGTTGTAAATAATCTGTACTGTCTGGAAATGACAGAATCATTTCAGATCAAAATGATCTTTGTGTTTGAAGGTAAAGTTTGAAAAGTTTGAAGTTAAAAGTTTGTGTTTTCCATATTTCAGTTGTGTACAAGGACACAAAATATGCTTGGTACACTATACCAAACTGTTCATTCAACTGAAGGTTTTTGGAGGAATAAGTGTTCTAAAGAAGGTGCTCTTCTATTGATTAGTGTCATGAAATTATGCATCTAATGTATTTTACTTTAGGGCAATATGGCTAGTAACACCAGTAAAATCAAAATTAATTTTCAAAGATTATTAACTGTCAAAGATAATTAATTTTCTGTTTAACATAGTTTTTAATATGCATATTCCCACATTCTTTCAACACCAGTACAGCCCTGTGCCACAGTTTTCAACTACTTCTGAGCCTTCACAGGTTCCTCAGGAAAAACAGATACTAAGGGAATATACTTACATGTACTTGGAGGCAAACCATTGTGGTCATATTAATTCTTCACAGGGACATGAAATAAATTCCAAGCAACTTAATTGTAAATTCTCCGATAAGAAGTATGAACATAAAATGATACAATGAAAAGAAACAGGAATGTTTGAAATTAAAGCTCTTACTGCTTTTATTCATCTTGTGGGACAAGAATTCAATATAGTTAAGAAGAATCTGTTCATATTATAGTTAATTTTATCATTATTTATTTTCTGCGAATTTATGACAATTTCTAGGTAAATATTCTTTCACTTTGACTGGTGCCTGACATCATTGACATCAATTGGGTATTCAGCACACTTTTGTTTTCACAGCAAAAAAGCTGAACAGGAATTTGAACTTGCCCATGTAAGGAAAAGACTTGATGAATGAAAAATAGTGTGAATAGTTGTGTTTCACACTTTACCTCTGTTTCTGCTGCATGGGCTGTTGTCTCATGGCCATATATTGCATGTCCTCTTGTAGTCGATTAAGAGGAGAGTCTGGCTTGACCCGAATCCCATAATAATGATATTTGGAGTTCCCCCTTTATGGAAGAGCAAGCATTAAAAGAGCAGTAACACTAGTTTTACGTATTTTCTTTACATTTACTTTAAAATTTACATTGACTGGAAAACAACACACACAAATCAGGTCTGGCTCTCCTGTCATACCTGTTTTACATGAGTGTCATTTTACTACTTTTGGGAAATTAACTCACTCTCTTAAACAAATATTATCAGCATACTAACTTGCACTCCACTTCAGTAAGAAAAATAAAATGCAAATAAATACAATTTATCTAGTATGGGCAAATAGTATTCTTAGTGATTTCCAAATAGAAAGTTATGTTTTATTTGTAATGATAAAAATCTGAAGTGTAGTTACCAAAATATAAACACATTAACTGTCAAAAGCAGAAGAAATAAAACTATAATAGCATCTTGAAAAAACATAGAACTGTTCAACATGAAGAAATAGAACTGACAGAAAAACACTAGTATTTTAATGCAGGTCTTATGTATTCTTTTTCCTAGCAGACTAGTTTCTTATCCATAATTATTACCTTTATTTTTTATTATAATTCAGGATTTCAATTGCACAAACCTAGTTCCAAGTCTTCTGGTGCGTAGTCCCATGAAGATTGACCGTATGAGTTTTCCAAAGGAGGCAGCATTGACTGGATCCAACTTGTGCTCCTGACAGTGTCTTAAGTAATGGTTGTAAAGGGTACTTCTTGGAAGGCTCACTCCTTCTGCAGTTTCATAGTTGTCTAAAAGCCATTGAAGCTGTATCACATACAAAACAGAAAAAAACCCACCCTATTATATACTTTATTGAAAATATTGTAGCCATACAGCATTAACTTCTGACAGTTGGAACCATTCTTCAGGTCTATTAAAAATTACTTTCTTCCTCAGAGTGTCTTTAAATGTTAGTTAAACAATAATGCTTTAATATCTTCAGAATTACCAGGGAATAGCAGAATTCATTGCACTTGTGACCTCAGAAAAGTGCCCTTTTCTTAAAATATTTTTGATTCAGTATCACACATCAGTATGTAATAAAGGTATCTATGCTTTGGAGACAAATTGTTAGTACCACAAAGAAATAAAGGAATCATGAATGTAATACACATAAATTGCAGAAAACAAACTCCTTGGGCACAATAGCTAATTAATGTACTTGTAAAACCAGAAAATGATACTCTTCTCTTTGTTGTTAAAAAACATTAAGACACAGATTAAAAAAAAGCTACTGCATAAAAGTCAGAGAGCTACCTAGGTAACATCGAAAATAATTGGTACATCTGTGAATCATTAGGGATACAAACCCTTTTAGCTGTAGCCTGCTTGCCTTTGACTTCCAAATGGAACAGAATGAGTTTTTTGGAAAAACAGTAATCTTTTCATGTAATTGTGGTAGATAATTAAAAACATGCAAGAAGAGACATTATGTAACATCACTGCATGTTCTAAGTACAGCACACTCATGAAACACCTCTAGCTGTTGCTAATATACAAAAAAATGTTCAAAGGACAATTTAATACTCCTAGATTTAGTATTAGAGGAAAATGACAAAATATAGCAAAACCAATATAGTCTGAGAATACATTAAATTTCACTGGTTTTGTTTTTTGATAAGTCAACATTTTCGTTATTTTTCCCAGTACTTGTCATGGATTGCTAGAATTTTCTCACCTCTAGAAAAATACAGAAAGAAGATGCAAATACTTCCAAGACATAAGATTTTTAGCTTGGTTTGCAGGCAATTTTGCATTTCAAATAAAGAAAATGAAGAAGTACAGTTAATCATGATTTATGATTGTTTTATATGTACTAACATTCACAAGTGCTTCCAAACTAAGCATCTGTCATTTTGAAATATAGCTGAAGAAAAGGTATAATTGTTAATATTTGAGTTTTGTGCGAATGTATTAAACTTATTTCATTAGTGATCTGACCTAAGCCTGTCTTGGCTTACAAAGGTAATTATAACTTTCAGTGGTTGCAATCTATCCATATTGAAAATCTGTTATTACATTTCTATTTGTATTAATACATTTATATAACATTTGTCATATATTATTACATCTAGAATCAAATCAGAATGATACAGAACTTGAAGTACTTCTGCTTTCCCCAAGGGGAAAAACTCTGTCAATCCCAAAAGACTGACAAACAAAAAATTAATTATTTTGCAATTAAGTTCTGTATGTAGCATTAAAGATATTTTCCTCCAGATGGTTTCTAATCTATTATTAATCACTTTGAGTGCACTTCATTAATTATATGAATTTCTAACAGATGTTATTTCAAACATAACTTGCATTATTCAACACACAAAAAGCCAAATCAAAAGTTAAGTGCAATACTAGAATTTTTGCTCTTGGAACGAGTTACTTAGTAGCAAGGCCTTGAAATCCTTACTTCATAGATTATAGCCTGGAAGAAAAAATGCAGTTAATTCATGATTTTAAGAGAAAATTGAATCCAAACATTATTGTAAACAGCTTTTTAAAGAACCCAAACACTTTTCCATCAAGCTGAAATACAATTCTAAAATTGTTCAGGTTTGAGTCATGGCTTATGAATTTGTAGTACTGACCATAATGTAATGCTAAGATGGGGAAAGGTATGAAATATTCACAGAGCCAGATCTGTTAAATTGAGTGTGATTTCAATTAATCTGCAACGTTTATAAAACACTCAACTATCAATAGGCTGAATAAGTTGATCCCATGCAGAAATATATCAAGAAACAAAAAACAGAGGAGAAATGACAAACTCCTTGAAATGAGAACTCATGTATTTAGGAAAACAAATCCTACAAAACCTCATTGAGGTATCAAAGGTTGAAAATTTAAATCCCAAACTAAAATATTTCCACAAATTAATTTATGACCTTCTAAGTGTATAAGGTAATTAAAAACGCAATTTAGATTCTATTTTAAAATCTGTTAAGCAAATTACTTAATAAATGCCAAACCAAACCATTAGAAGGCAAATTCAAGAAAAGTTTAAAGAGACAAAGTGTACATCTACACTTAAACTTCCTTTACACTGTCCTTGAGTTTAAAGACAATAAGCATTGCTTTAAAAACAGGCAAAACATCCTGTAAGCTTGATCTAGATTTTAAATTTTTTTCAAAATGACCAAAAGCAGGAAATACTTTTTGCCATAAAAATGTGTACAAGGGTTGTTTTAAATTTTTCTTTCCCCACAGAGTCAAAGATACATCCCTACCACAGTATTTTTCACAAAGTGTTCACAGTCACGAATACCATGGTAAGTATTCACAGCTGGAAAGACTGTGATCTTCTGTACCAATCCTGTTATTGGGAAGACACTGTGAACAGTGCCTAGAACTAGGAAAGAGTGAAACACAGCTTACAGAGGCACTGCAGCTTATCTTGTAATCTTTCTCAGTTTTATACAAAGACTATGGACTTCCTAACAGGTTTAAACACAAACTTAGAATAGTTCTAGTGTTTTAAGTCTTTCTAGATAGTTCTAAAAAATTCCCGAAAAAGTTACAGTCTGTTAAAAATTACATTTAAACAATCATTTTGATATTATTAGTGCAATAATTTGTATTATTATTTAAATAATAATTTTGATACCACTTTATCTTCAAAATAATTTTTTGTAAGCACAAAAGGTGGAATTTAAATTTTCTTTCTGTATATAATTTCCTGTAACTTTTTATGATACAGTTTTCCTCTAAATTTTAGTTTTAAGGAAAAAAAGTTTGCCTAAATTCTCCACAAAACATTTTTAAGTTCAACAAAACCAGACCCCTACAGGAAAAAAAAAATCCAAATCCAAACCCAAACCTTCTAAAGCACACATTTTTAATTTTATTTCCAAAGGATAATCTCTACTATCATATTCTACATTTCAGACTGCAAACTAAATTTCAATTTCTTCTATAAAGCAATAATGGTATTTGAATTTATATAATAAGCAAAGCTGAGAAGGAAAAAAAAAACCAATCAACATGGCAAAAATACAAAATTCAAAACCATAAGAACCAACAGAAAAAACCCCAACATTTCAGAAAGACTAACAACTTACAAAGTAATAACATTATTTATATAATAAGTTTAAAATTAACTTGGTCTTTTTCCTTTATTTTAAAGTTTTATATAATGAACTTATCACTATATTTGGAGATCATGTTTTCCCCAAATATCTTTTAGCTTTTTCTATGAAACGATAGACTTGCAGCGTAAGAACAAAGTAAAAGGCAGATGAATAAGACATTTCTGTGTACTTCAAATTAAGGCACTGCTTTCAATTTTTACCAGGTCATCAGAAGGATCCTTAGGATTCTTAAATAAGTAATTTCAAAATAAACTCACTAGTCAGAATAAATGAAGAAACACCTAGCAATAACCTAATTATATTATTTAGGTGTGCTTTTTCTTCTCTTCCTCTTCACATGCCACAAAATTAGTATATGGTACACAGTTCTTATGATGCAGACAATTGTATTTAAAATGCCAAAAGCCAGCTAATTTAGAATTAATTGAACCTTAGCTTGACATTTACACTGTAACCCGCAAAACAGTCAAATGTGTTAACTCATCCTAACACAGGTGTAAAGGATAGGAAACAGGTAACACTCTGCAATATACCATAAAGACATTTAATCTGACAAAATAAAGCCATGGGAGGTGTAGTAGAAGATTACAAGCAACTAAGATGGGAAGATTAGGAGCAAAAAGTAATAATAAAATAAAACAAACATTTAGAGGCAGGCTAAGCATGCAGAACAAGCAAGAGAGAGTGTATGTGAAGAAGAGACAACTTACATGGCTGTTGAGAAGAGAGCTTCTGTGAGTGGACAGACCATCAGACTTTTGCAGTGTCTCAATCGCCATTTCAATCTGATAATAGATGTCATTAAAAAAAGGACTCAAGATGGGATAGTAAAAAAGCCTGATCAGAGAAGTTTTGACAGATTCCTTACAGATCAACAGAAATGCCTGCTTTATTCCTGGCTAGGGCATATATTTTATTAAAAGGCCTCATTCTAGAGTCCCAGTGAACACAAGCCTCCTCAATGAGGTCAGAAAGTCCTTGCACATATCCAATTTTGCTAGCATGTATACTGCAGGATCACAGCCTCAAAGTTCATTTTACCTTCCAAACTGCTCAGAATGAGCTCAAAGAAGTAGAATTACTGGTGAGCTGCATTGAAATAAAAATAACCCAGATTGAACAAAAACATAATCACTAAATTAAAAAAAAATAAATAAAATCCCTAAACGATTTTCTGGAAGGCCTCCAAGTTTTCCCTTCAACTATACCAGGAAGAAACATGCAGAGCTTGCAATAAGAATTGAATTAGAAACAAAACTTTAACTATCTGAAATCACAGAATCAAATCCCAAACCAAAGTAATTCAATAGGCTTTACACCATTAGCTTCACTGGGACAGGACATCAATCCTTACTCCTGCCAGTACCCTCTGAAGATCCCCAGCTGCCAAAGTAAATGGAAAGTCAGGAGTTACACAGACTGCAGGATCCAGCCTTTGGAAAAGCAGATTTGTTCACAATAATTTTGCTTTTAAAAAGGAAAAGAAAACACAGTATAACGAAAATACAAAGTAGATTTTTTTCAAATTCAAATGTATGGTTACTCTCATGTCCATTTCCTTTCTTTTCCTTTTAATTAACAATGGATATTTTGATTTTGATCAGTTTGGAAACAACATTAAAGAAAAAACCTAAGGGTAATTTATCTGGGGGGCCAGAAGAGCAAAAACCAACAGTGAAAATGACAGAGACAATGGAATGCACAGTAAGAAAAGGCAACAATTATTAGCTACAATAAATGGCCGAAATGAAAGCAATGGAACCACCACTTAAACTTTTTAAAAAAATACTTATCATTATCTCTGCAAACATTCCTAATGAGCCCTGTCTATCGTACTTCAAATACCACAGTACTAATTATCATTTTAATGACATAATTTATCAATATTGGCTGAATTTACTCTCTGTATAGTAGAAATGGAAAACTACTATAGCTGATATTTGAATTTACCTGTAAAACTAGTTTCTCCTTTTTTTTTGAGGGCAATTGACAAGTATTTTAATATATTAGCTGTCAGAGCAATTTCTTTTAATTGTGTAATATTAGCTTTGCAAGTCTTTAAAAAAAGGTACATTATTAAATATATATGATTACTATGTAAAAAAAAACATTCTTGCTTGGCAATAATGTTCTTTCTTTTAACAGTCTGACTTGCTCCAGTGGAAAAAACCTGAGGTCAAATTACTAAATCACACAGGAAAGATCAAATTTTAAAAACATGCTTCAAGAAAAAAACTACAAGGTCAAAAGATCATCATAAGGTCAGTTTACTATATATTGTAGCCAGAGAGTTTCCCTTCCTAAAAAAATAATACAATCAAAGAATTGAGAGTGTACAGATGTTTAAAACCTAAATCTGAATGTTAGGTCAGATGTACCACAGTGCTTACACACAGCAGTACTGTACACCAGGGTTACACTGCCTGCTGCTCATTCCCACTACTGCCCTATTCTCATTTTGTTGCTGCAACTTGTGGTCTTCTTTGTTCAGGGAACCAACCTGCTAAAAAAATTGGCATCTCTAGTAATTTCACTCGAAAAGTGGCATTACAGATGACACTGACTTCTCACTGCCATATTGATTCCATGGCTTATGGGGGTAACTGTTGGGCTTTTCATCATTTGGGAGATTTTCGTTGCTGGAATTTCTTTTAGTAGATTTCATGACTATGGCCACTGAAGGCACACAATTTGTGTTCACTTTTAGTACATCACATAAGCCAAGCAACACTGGTCACCACTAAAACATGTTAATTACTTTATCAAGCTCAGAAATGGGATCTGTATTAAAAATGAGTCTCCACACATCCTACTAGGACAAGCTTAAAGAGAAATTGTTTTCACTACTATTTTGTTCACCATTTTTAGATAATATTTTGATAAAATGAACTTCAACTGACAGATGTCTCCACAATCCCAGAAACCCTCTTTGCATATAGTAATGTAAAATTACTTTAACTATTTCTGAGCATAAAATATGATTGATTTGAAGACAAATTTTTTAGACGCTAAATGACTTGCTTGCCCTTTCTGAAAACTTATGACTGCTTCCTGTTTTACTCTATTGGTGCCCTACAGGGCTGAATTCTAGGGCCAGTTCTGTTCATTTTTAACAATGATCTGGATATAGGAGTTGAACACACCATTAGTAAGTTTGCTGATGTTATCAAACTGGGAGGCGCTGTAACTGGGAGGTGCAGTTCACTCTCCTGAGAGACGAAAACCCTTGCAGAGAGAGGGGAGAGATCTGGATAGAGTGGAGCACTGTCCACCAGTGACATGAAAATGACAACTCAAAATACCAGATTCTGCACCTGGGATAGAGAAATGCCACACACAAGTCTAAACTGGGAGAGGGGTGGCTCTGGGGTTGCAGAGAGGGCTCTAGGGGTGCTGGTTGGCAGCAGGCTCTGTGGCAGCCAGCAGTGTACCCTGGCAGCCAGGGGGGCAGCAAACCCCATCTGGGCACAGCAAACCCCATCCTGAGAGCAGCAAACCCCATCCTGAGAGCAGCTAACCCCATCCTGAGAGCAGCAAACCCCATCCTGAGTGCAGCAAACCCCAGCCTGAGAGCAGCAAACCCCATCCTGAGTGCAGCAAACCCCAGCCTGAGTGCAGCAAACCCCATGCTGGGTGCAGCAAATGCCAGCCTGGGAACAGCAAACCCCATCCTGAGTGCAGCAAACCCCATCTGGCTGCAGCAAACCCCATCCTGGCTGCAATAAACCCCAGCCTGAGAGCAGCAAACCCCATCCTGGGTGCAGCAAACCCCATCCTGAGAGCAGCAAACCCCATGCTGGGTGCAGCAAATGCCTGCCTGGGCACAGCAAACCCCATCCTGAGTGCAGCAAACCCCATCTGGCTGCAGCAAACCCCATCCTGGCTGCAATAAACCCCAGCCTGGCTGCAGCAAACCCCATCCTGGCTGCAGCAAACCCCATCTGGCTGCAGCAAACCCCATGCTGGGTGCAGCAAATGCCAGCCTGGCACAGCAAACCCCATGCTGGGTGCACCAGCCGTGGTAGTCTAAAGGGGTGACTGTCCCTCTGTGTCCAGTGTTAGGGCAGGGCCTCCTGTGCAGTGCTGGGTGCAGCTCTGGGCTCCACCATTTCAGAACCATGGGAAGGTCCTCGAAGGTGTCTGGAGAAGGGCAAGAAGGCGTCTGGTGGAAGGACTAGACACCATGGCCTGTGAGGGGCTGCTAAGGGCTTAGGGCTTGTCTAGTCGGGAGAAAAGCAGCTGAGGGGCAACCTCCTTGCTCTCTACAGCTTCCTGAGGAGGGGAAGTGGGGAGGGAGGTGCTGATCTCTTCTCCCTGGGACCCAGTGTGGGAATAGTTCAAAGCTGCACCAGGGGAGGTTCAGACTCGCCATTAGGAAGCATTTCTTTAGAGAGGGTGGTCAAGCTTGATGATGCCCTGAGCCTATCAATGTGTAAGGGGCATTTGGACAGAGCCTTTAAGAGCCTGCTTTACCTTTGGGTCAGCCCTAAAGTGAAGCAGTTGGGCTAAATTATTCTTGTAGGCCCCCCACAGCTCAGTATTTTCTTCTACTCTGCTATTCCAAGGGCTTGGGTTTTCAGGAGGCTCTATGTGACACCCATGTACAGGAAATAGAAGCTACCCAAGTAAAAAGTCCCTTAAATGAAGGATCTGTTCCTTAAGTGAAGGATCTGTTCCTTCAAGCTCTTAGGTTCTAAATTCTGGCCAGGGACTTTTATTTAGGCTGTAAAAAACTGAACAGTACGTCTCTATTCAAATAGCACTTAAGCACAAACATGGAATAACTACACAGGTTATACAGTGTGTATTATCATAATATTTTGTTTACAAATGAAAGTAATTTTAACATTTAAAATTATATTCTGTAAAAATGCAAAAGGAAGACTGATACCCTTCCATTTTTAACAATAAGCTGTGAGAGATTCTAGGCACAACTTCCTACATATTTATCTGATATGTTAAATAGGAAGAAATTTCACTTATTTGAATATGTGATCAGTCACACATTCCCCCTTTTCTTGTCTTAATAAACTAAAATAATTTATTTAAAAGTTCTGATAACTGAAATACACACTATCGCTCCCACTGCAATTCCAACTAAACCATGTTAGATGTTACACTACATGTAGGAAGACTAATCAGTTTGTAGTTACAAACATAGGCAGTCACTAAATTAAGAACATTATAGATTGTGAATTTCTTCAATTTACTTTGTTAGTGAGCTAAAACACTGCCATATACTCAGACACAATCAATAAGGAATAAGGATATTCTCCTGGGGTTAAAAACTTCAGCAGTTTGATCCCAGTATGTGCATCTACAATGTAATCCTTACATGATCTACTGATTTGGAAGTTACTGACTGTTTTTGCTAGGTTATGTCTCAGTATTCATTAACATGTTACTAGATAAAGAAATGACACATAATAGTCTAAGATGCATATAGCACAGACATAGCAAACACTTATCCCAAACCCACTTTGCAAAAATCTCCCTTCCTCTTAGGAAGAAGAAAGAGACAGTGTTTTTCCACATGATTCAGCTAACAATTTCCACGATCAACTAACAATTTCACAATTAGTACAAAATGTTATCATAAGTTGCTCTGAGGAATTAAAAAAAAAAGAAAACAATGTGCAGAAATTGAAGTCCTGACGTTTAGTGAATAATCTGGGTAGCCTATAATTTTTTTTTATCTGTTTGCATTTGCAAACCACTGTACACCAGCAGCAGGGCAGGCAGGTGGTATCTTAGTATTCAATACATTGTTGCAACATCTTGAAAA